GTAGCATTATGTTATTTTTCATTATGAAAAGAAGCACTTCCGCATTACCGGTCAAGAACCCATTTCTATTTTCAACATAAATGCTACCCGATGCACGAATCACTCTTTTTGAGTTCACTGAGGAAGGTGGTTCGCAGAGATACTTCATTGTCAGTGTAAACAAATTTGGAATTTCTTTGCGACAATCATAATAACATATTGGTGCTTACACATTTGTTAGTGTTTGAGTGGGCTTCTCCTCCGATTTGTGGCTTTCGCATTGATGTTGTCACACAAGGGGAGGGACCTACAGTTTTACTTCGACTCCAAACGGCGATTGTGTTTTTATGAGATGCTGTTTTCATGGCAGAAATAAACTCGGAGGTTTGCCATTGCATGCCGAGAGGCGACCGAAATTAGAAAAACTTTTTTTTTATGCTGGGTTGAACCGGGCTTGAACCCAGGCTAACCGATAGACCAAAGTGGCCGTCTATGATTCCACCAAATGAAAGGATCTTCTTGTCTGCGTATAAGGGGTATCTGTAAATATTTCTCCATTTATCCATCGTTTGGCTATCCACATCACTACTGGAATCAGTATCAGAGCTGTTGGCGATTTCCTCAAAGCATTGTCAAATATCCTGGTCTCGCTCTTCATAGAATCTTTCATAAGAATTACGCCTGTTTCATACGATTCAGCAGGTTTCTCCATGCTAACTGATTTATGGTCGTTATTATGAGTTGCATTCGATTTTCGATCGCTGGTTATCGAAGATCGAAAATCGAATGTGAAATTCGTATTATGAGCTATGCAACCGTGTCGAAATTTTTGTTGAGTATCGAATTTTCTGTCGAACAGAATTTTACTTTCGGCTAGACACCAATTTTTGTTAAAATCATGCAGGTCTAACGTCGTGAATACTAAACACAATCTCGAAAGGCTGGTTGCACTCATGAAAGAAAATCCCAATACTCATTCGGCACGATTTCTGAGAACAAAATCGTAGAGCTGTTGATAGTCTTAAAATATTTTAAATAGATTTGGCTATAGAGGATTGCTGCAGCAGGTTTTGCATAGCGGACTGCAAACGCCTCTTTAGACAGTCGGAAGTTTTTAATAAATCTGTAGACGAATTTCTTAAATATATTGTATGTCAAAATATATTCGAAAGACTAAACTTAAACGTTTTCTACTCCTGGCCCTACATCTGCGAGCCTTTAACAAACTCTATTCAATTTGTCACTTAAACATGGCGTTTTTCCGTCAGCCTGGAAGGAGTCTTTCATAATACCACTTCACAAAAACGGCAGCAGGTCGTCTATAGAAAACTATTGAGGCATAGCGAAACTCTCCGCTATCCCCAAATTATTCGAAGCAATTATTGTTAACCAGCTGACATATTCTATATCTTCTTCAATTACACAATCTCAACACGGGTTTTCTAAAGGAAAATCTACTATGACTAATTTATTGGAGTTTACAACTCATGTCTCAAACGGTTTTAGAGAAAATGCTCATACAGACGTAATATACACCGATTTCAGTAAAGCTTTTGACAAAGTATGTCACTCGTTACTCATCCGTAAACTCGACCTAATCGGCTTTCAGCCCAGTCTTCTTCAATGGATCTCATCTTACCTCTCTGATAGAACACAAAGAGTTCCTGTTAATAATTGTTCTTCCAACATCATTAAGGTTTCTTCAGGAGTTCCTCAGGGAAGCCACCTTGGTCCGATTCTGTTCCTGATATTCATTAATGATATTTTTTCTATAATAAAAGATTCAAAAATTTTAATGTATGCCGATGATGTGAAACTTTTTAAAACATCGTCCTCTATCGCAGAAAGGTCTTTGTTACAAGCGGATCTGAACAACGTGGTTAGTTGGTGTAATGCAAACTATATTCCACTAAACCTTCATTGCCAGTGTAAAGAAATTTGAAATTCTTTGCGACTATGCTTCCACCAAATTAAAAGATCTTCTTGTCTGGGTGTAAGTGTAGCTGTAAATATTTCTTCATTTCTAAATCGCTGCTTTTTTATACCTGTCATGAGCATGAAATGGTATTATAACTTTGGTCCGATGTTTGTAAGTACCAGTATAAAACGAGATAGACCCATTAAAATATATATCTACTTATATGATCAGAACGTCGAGCTGAGTCGATTTAGCCATGTCCGTCTGTTTGTATGCAATCTAGTCTCAGTTTTCGAGATATCCGGATGAAATTTAGTAAGTGGGTGTATTTTTATATTGTATTAATCATTTGTCGGAACCAGAAGAATCGGACCACTATAACATATAGCTCCCATACAACTGATTGTTCAGATATGAGAATTTTCGTTATAACTACTCCATTTATGCAGCTGGAAACCATGAATTTCGCACTATTTTCACCCGTTATCAACAGAAAGTTTACAGTGAAATGAACAAAGATCAGGTCACTATAACCTGTTTATTGCGTCCATACAACTGATTGTTCAGATATGGGGTTTTACTGTAAAACTCCTTTATTTGGACAGCTAAAACCGATAAATTTCGTAAGCTATTTTATAAATAATTATACACAGTCTACTGAGAAAATCGTCAAAATTTATGCTTTATAAGCTTTATCTCCTATACCTCTGATTGTTCAGATACCAGTTTTTGCGATATATCTCCTTTATGTAGGAAGCTAACCCCATTAAATTGTGTTACCGCTTTACATACCGATCACAAAGCAGTAATCTGTTAAAGTAAAGTAATCAGATGTTCATGAAAGGTATGAAGCCTTCGGCATAGCCGAAGACACCGCTGCTCTTACTTGTTTTCTTGTACGGTCGCACAGTGGGTTCCCATATAAGCGGCGGCCAAAAGTAGTAACCCTCCTACAAATTCGCTGAAATTTCGTATATAGGCAAATCCTAGTGCTGTGGACGTTACGTTCGGATGTTTCTTTAAATATTTTTCCGACAAAAATATTATAAGTTAAAATTTTTCGTGGTATAAGGGAAGGTTTATAGCAGTACTTATGAGAATAAAATAATGAAAATTTGAATCTGAGCTATTGTCGGTATATTTTCCTTCGAAATTATGTGTGTTCGGGACGTTACTCTTTTTTCCATTGAAAAAGTGTATTTGATTAAAGCGATATTGTCGCTTATAACCAATGCTATTTAGAGCTTTGTTTCAAGAAGTAAAAGGGGCAAATCAGATTTCTCAAATAAATGTGAAAATAAATATGAAATAGGAATATGTTGTACTATGCCTTTTTTGACACAAAAATTGCATGCATTTTTTGCGATTTTGGTTGACTATTTCTCGGGTTCGCCCATATGCGCTATTCTGCACTTAAGAATGAAGAAATGTGGAAAATGGCAAATGTCGAAAACTTTCAATTCTATCTTGATTTTATATAACAAAAGCTGTGTAAAGCAAGGAGGATTTTTGCCATCGAAAACGGACCTCGTCCAGAGAAGCACCCACTTTTGGCTTCCATTTTATATTGCATAATATTTATTTTATGTACATATCAGCAGGGTTGAGTGATTTTGATTTAGTCAAATCAAAAATCCATAAATCAAATTTATTTCTGAATTGAAAGTTCCATCAAATCCTAAATAAATTTTATTTGTGATTTGCTTGGTCAACCAAATAAAAGATAAGTTTTATTTGTGATTTACTTGGTCAGCCAAATAAAAGACAAGTTTTGTTTGTGATTTCATTCGTCAGCCAAATAAGAAATCAAAGTTATTTGCGATTTGAATCGCCCCCCAAATCAGAAATCAAATTTATATGTGATTTGATTTATAGAGCGAATCATTTGATTTGTGATTTTCAACTAAATACATAGTACTCTTTTAGGCAACGCAACTACTTCGGAATTTTCGGGACTAATTCGGAGCTTTTGGGGCTATTTCGATATTTTCGGGATTCTCGGGAATATATCGCGATCTTTGGGACTAACACTGAAATTTTCGAAGTAATCTTGAAAAACCCGAAATAGTTCAAAAAATTCCGCATTAGTCCCAAAATAGTCTAAAAATTTCAAAGTAGCCGTGAAGATCTCAATATGGACCCAAGAACCCTATAATCTCGAAGTAGTCTCGAAACACCCGAGCACCCCCGAGAGAAAATCCCGAAGAAGTCTCGCAAAACTCGAAATAGTGCGAAAATCCCAATTTAGTGCCGAGAAACCCGAAAACCTCGAAGTAGTATCGAAAAACCCGAAATAGTACCAAAAAATCCGAATTGGTCTCGAAAACCCGAAATAATCCCGAAAAGTCTCGAGAATCCCGAAATAGTCCAAATACTCGAAGTAGTCCCGAATATCCCTATACAGTCTCAATGGCAGTAGGCTCGGAAAATGGAAATAGTCCCGAAACCTTTGAATTGGTCCCAAATATCCCGAAGTTTTCCCGAAGATCTCAATATGGTTCCGATAACCCTGAAAATCTCGAAGCAGTCCCGAATAATCAGAAATATTCCTGGAAATCCCGCTATATTCCCGAGAACCCCGAAAATCTCAAGGTAGTCCCAAAAATCTCGATATAGTCCTAAAAACACCGAAAATCTCGGAAGTATTCTCGCCAAACCCGAAATAAACCCGAAAAGTCTCGAAAATTCCGAAATAGTCCACATACCCCGAAGTAGTCCCGAAGATCCCGATAGAGTCCCAAGAACCCGAAAATCTCGAAGTGGGCTCGGAAAACTCGAAATAACCCCAATAATTTCTAATTGGTCTCAAAAATCCCGAAGTTGCCCCAAGATCCCAATATGGTCACGATAAACCCGAAAATCTCGAAGTTGTCTCGAAGAATCGGAAATAGTCCCGAAAATCCCACTATATTCCCAAGAACCCCGAAAATTTCGAAGTATTCCCAAAAATTCTCAAAATCTCAAAGTAGTCAAAAAATTCCTAAAAAATCCGAGAAAGTCCCAAAAATCTTGAAAATCTCGAAGTAGTCTCATAAAAGCCGGAATAATCCGAAAAACCCCGAAGTAAATCAAAAATCCCGCAGTAGCTTGAGGATCCCGATATGCTCACGAGAACCCCGAAAATCTCTAATAACCCGAAATATTCCTGAATATCCCGAAGAAATCCCGAAATTGTCCAAAAATTCCGATATATTCTCTAGAACCCCGCAAATCTCGAAGTAGTAGAAAAATTCCGAATTGATCTCGAAAACCCGAAGATTCCGATATAGTCCCGAGAGCCCCGAAAATCTGGAATGAGTCACAAAAATTCCGAATTGGACCCAAAAACCCCGAAGATCCCGAAATAGCTTCGAGAACACCGAAAATCTCGAAATAGTCTCGAAAAACCCGAAATAGTCCCAAATATTCCGAAACATCCCGAAGTCCCGTTGCATTAAAGAGTATTATTTAGTTGAAAAATCGCAAATCAAATGATTCGCTCTACAAATCAAATCATAAATAAATTTGATTTTTGATTTGGAGGGCTATTCAAATCACCCATCAATTTCATTTCTGATTTGGAGGCCGATTCAAATCACAAATCAATTTGATTACTGATTTGGTTGACGAATCAAATCACAAATAAAAGTTATCTTTTATTTGGTTGAGTAGGGATGTGCCGGATATCCGGGATCCGGCATATCCGGCCGTGAAAAAGATACTATTGTGAACATCCTAAACGAGCGAAATTCACAATAGTGATTCTTCATCGAATGTGCGTCATAATACTAAATGAAAATTCGTTCGATCAGCGCTTTCGACCACAGTCGTAGATCGAATGCAACTCATAAAGGGGCCTATATTTTCGAATTATTTGGTTCACCATCTACCCAGTTTTTAGATTTATTTATGTCAGAAAAGAAACCGAGTTTTGAAACGTGTGTCACAAAATATTGCAACAATGGAGCCTTACGGGGCATGCATATTAGTTCGCTTTTCGACACGTTGTTAAATAAAAAAAATCAATCACTAATTTTTTTTTACCGGGACGTTACACATTCAATTTTCTCCTTTCAATTTTCAATACACTCACACATTTTCACTAACACTCTCTTATTTATTACTTGAATGGGCAACTTGTTTTCAATTTTTCCCTTTCAATTTTGATCAGTTGTTCAGCATCGGTATGGGAATTTTGTGAAAATAAAAAAATACTAAGCTTCTGCATGCTTAAATGTTAATCTACAATGGAAATAAAAATGGAAAATGGTCTTCGGAAGCTAGTTAGTTACATTGTTTTCTTGAAGACGACATGTTAATAATGAAATTGCTTCTCAAATTGAATGTAGCCTACGCAATTGCTTTCAATTTCGATGATATTTGACAAGCAATGTGTGTGAGAAATTGAAAGGCAAAACTGATTGTGTGTCGTCAGCGTTAGCGGCGTTCATTGTTGCTTATCTTTTGTCTTTGGCGTTTCTCCTCTATTTACCAAAAATAATCGATAAATGCGGTTTAATATAGGATTATATCATATCTTGGATTTCGGAGGAAAAATTGTGTACATATTCTTAATTACGTATTGGATAGTTAAGCAAAAAAAAGCAGATAATCTAGCTAAACAAAAAACCTAATATAACAATATTGTGAAACTTATTAAGGGCAGCAGACTACCGGATATCCGAATCCGGCTGTTATTTTTTACAGGATATCCGGAATCCGGCTATCCGGCACATCCCTACTTATTATTATTACTTTTTTCTTCTGTTTCCCAAACATATTCATATATGATAAAGGGATAAATTGCTTACATTTATCAGTTTATCTGCATTCTTACATGAACGCACCTTGGTAAATAATTGTATAAATTGTTTATAATTTAACTTATATGGCTCGTTACGTTCCGTTCTTACCTCGTCCATTGTGTTCATTTGCTTTTTATGTGCTTATCACTTTTGATGAAGACTCCTATTTCATCATATACATATGTTATTTTAGATTTAATCCACAAATTGTTAGCACGTGACTAGCACTATAAAATAATTGTAAAATTGTTGTGTTGGGATAAACCAATAAATGAAAAGAAAAAAAAAATAAAAATTAATACGTTTTAACGACAATGCTAGCCAAAAATTAAAAATTTCACAAATTTACTACGTCCTCGTCTGATGGTAAAAGCAACATTGTTCTATGAGATAGCCGAATCTCAGAAAATGAACAGAGAATGCTGCCTAATTACTTCATCTTGTTTATTGCGCCATGGCTTCAGCTGATATATTATGAATATTTAAACATACTAAAATTTTATGTTTTTAAAGTCAATATATCTATTAAATTTGTGTTACAATTAAATTTATTAATTTACATTTCAGAGTCCTATTACTATCCAAATACAGATTCCAAACGTAGTTGATAAGTCAGAATGGAAACTGAACGGACAAACTATTGCCTTTTCATTATCTCTCTCAGATACTGTTTCCAATCTCAAAGCAAAGATTCAAGATGACACGGGAATGCCACCTGCGAAACAAAAAATTTCTTATGAGGTAAGTTTCATATATACAAATTTGCAACCTTATAAGTGCCCAATAAGCGAACGTTGCGGCGAACTTTCGGTATCCAATATGAATATCGAATTGAAAATGAACATAGTGAAAGAAATTTAGAAAAAAATTGGTTTATTATCATTTAAACATAAATGCGGAACCTGAATACAACTGGGTAACACAATTCAACCAATTCTTAAACAAAATTGGTTTATCTCATATATGGGAGACGCTGAGCTCTGATGCCTGAAAAGGTTTAGAGCAACAAGCTTTTGAGCGCATTGGTCGTCTTTTAAAATTTCAGGATGTACTAAGCTGTTCCAATTCTCCCTCCATGAACTGCAAAATTTTACGATCGCTCGACGAAAGTGTGGCCCCATATCTTCTCTTTAGGAAAAACTTCTACATGAGTAAAATGTTTGCCCAAGTTCGCCTGGCGACGAAGTACAACATAAGGTTTTGCATCGAAGGCCTGGTTTATAAAATATACCCAACTGCTTTATGTACGCAGTGCAATTCAGATAAAATGGAAAGCCTAGAGCATCTGCTCTTCAAGTGCCAAATTTATTGTTCCTTTAGGGACTACTACCTAGGACCACTTCTAAAAGAATCTGAAAGCAATCCAATGCATATATTCCAATTGACTATATCAATTTACAGTCAGGATGGTGTACCTCTATGTTGTTAACTGTTTGCGACTTTTTATTTTTTAATACTTTGTAAAATACATCCACTTTTAATACATTTGCGAATAATTATGTAACCCTCAAACATGTAAACTCAAATGTAACTATTAGAAAGCCTGCTAAAAACATACAGTTTATAAGCAGGGTTAAATAAAATGAACGAATGAGTGAGGAAAAAATCGGCAATGCCGACTTAAATACATTGAGTAATGAACCGAATCCCCTTTATTTTAAATTAATTCCAAAATTCTCACTAGTATACCCTGACTAGGCTTAAACATGTACCCTGACTAGGCTTAAACGTGTACCCTGACTAGGCTTAGCTTGTTAATTGCATCATGAAATCTCCAAACATGTAAATTTTGAGTTATATCTCTATGTTATTAAACGTGCGATATATGAAGTTGACGCAAATTTTCTTAAAAAAATATGCAATTGGCTTTAAAACTCATGGACTGATTAAAGGTGGCCTCAAACAGATGCGATCAGCCTTGTTCTGCAATCCGAGTCGGAATCGCATCGGAATCGGAATTCAATTCCGACTCGGAATTTAAATGCTGTTCCACAATCCGTTCGGAACTTTTGTTTCGAAGTTAATATCGAATCCGGTTGTAGAAGAAAAGGAACAAACCTCCTACTTGTCAATTGCGTTTTGAAGTGTCAAAACTCATTTGAAGAAATTAAAAAGTGAAAACTAAAATGATTTCAATGGTTTTATTAGCTGTTTTGCCCAATAATGAGCAGCAAACAAATGAAATAATGAGGCAAATAATTTTGCGCGATCGCAGTAATCCCATATAATTACCAGACTCTGCGTATGTAGTATGCAAACAACTGTTTTCTCTTTTGCAATTTCAAAGTATAATTTTATATTTGACTGGCAGCCTTATGTACGCAAAAAGTTCCATTCCTGGGAGCACAACGAATGGACCAACATCGCTTTGAGAAGGAGCACCGTACCATTGCCGACGGTACCGACACAATTTTGTGTGCATGGAGTCGGTGATGTAGGTAACGATGTTTAATGGGGATTAAATATCGAGGTGGTGATCGTCATTCGTGGTTATTGGGCAATGCCGTGTATGCTCTGGAACCTTTTCTGTTGACACCGTATATAAATCCATAGCCACGGTCTATACAACACGCATTTAATCAAATACATTAGGGCTGTTTAGGATTTTGTGCATATTCTCCTGGATTTGCATATTCGTTGCATTTGTAAATTTACAACAATAACATGCACACGGTTGCCATGGCAGCAAGAAAAAAATTTGCAAATGCAATTCCAACTGCAATCCAGGACCACTTCCACAACATCCTGAACAGCTCCATTCTTCGGCACGTAGTATTGGAGTTCCCCAAAGTCGTTTTCAGTGTTTATTAGTAACCTTGCAGTACAAACTATGAGAGGTTGTGAAAATAATTAATAAATGTGTTGCCCGCATAACATTTTTCGGCACTACAGTCCTGAATTTGATTATGAAGAAGTTGAAGAAAACGATAGCGAAGTATGTAGATAGGGAAGTAGATACATTTGCACCAACAGAAAAGTGAAGCACAAATAATTGGATACGAAATTGCGAATAAAATTACCCCTATTTAATTAAAACAAGTTTTGTAATTAAACAATAAACAATTTACGCAAAAAAATAACATTCTAAGACTTTCTACTATTTTCAAATTCGAAACGCTCTAGCTCCAACTCAAGCTGTCGCAGTTTAATTTTTTTTTATTTTTGCATTATAACTATTGCCAATTTTAATTAGTTTACTTACATTTTTCGTTGTTCGCTAAAGTTTAAAATTTTCCTTTGATTATTTACATTTATATTTTTGTTTTTTTTTTTTTCTTTTACTTGATCGGAATATTTACGATAGAAATTCGATTTGATGTGGATCGAAATGTAGAACAAGGCGGAATCGGAAATAATATCCGATTGTCGGAATGCAGAACAGCAACAATCGGAAAAAAATCCTATTCCGATTCGAATCGTATTGCAGAACATGGCTGGATATTACCGATGCGAAAGCAAAGGCCCTCAAATAGGTGCGATCATTATATTCCGAATACTTCAAATAGTATAATATGGAGCAACAATGGACGAGTTGAATTGTTAAATCAATTTCAGAACTCTACAATTTACAAGTAGCTCATATCGTGTGATCAATTGTGCCTTCTGCAATAGAATTTTTGAACGCATCGTATCGCTCCGGTATACCGCATCTGTTTGAGCACTCCCATATACCGCAAAGGTTTGTGTTGATTGCATATCGTAAATTTTTTTTTATCGCACCTGTAGTATCGCATCTCTTTGAGCCCACCTTAATGAAAGCTGTTACGTACTTTTGGTCATAGGTAATGCTTTACCAAATTGTAGCGGCAGTAGAAAAGCAAAACCAACACGACTATTTTCTACTATTAAGACTTTCTTCTACTGTCAAGGCATATTTTTTTTGTGTAGTACTGAATGATTACAGGTGTATTCATTCAACGAAAATTTACAGTCAAGGTACATTCACATTCTCTTTGTGATTTTTCCCTAGCATTCAATAACACCACATATGTTGTATTTAAAGTAATGAACAAATCTCAAAAGTAGTTATTTTAGTTTTTAAATCAAACCAATCACATTTTTGAAACGAATTAAATGTGAATGAAAACAACAGATTCAATCATCATACAGCTCTAAAACTAATGGAACGCTATGAGAAAAAAAGTTTCGAGAAGATTTGTTCCCGTTTCGTTATCTGTCAGAAAGTTCCTGAGACTTTAGTTTCCAAATGGTTCTTTGAGAGAAAGTTCCTTAGACTTTTGGTCTCATTTTGAACTTTGCCAGAATATTGCGGATCTTTTTTCTTTTTAGAAATGCTCCCTTAAGTATTGTTCGTTTTTTTTATCTTTGGGAACATTCCATAGGGCTTTGTTCTTATATAATTCCCGTTGAGAACGTTCTGGACAGTTATGTTCTCACTTTCGTTCTTGTGAAATCTTTCCCCAAGGGTTTGTTCTCATTTCGGTTTGGGTTTTTGAGCTTTCTTGGGAACAAAGCTACGAGATCGACATTTAGTTTCCGTCGTACATTTTGTTCTCGGTCCATGCAAAATATTCAAGACTTCTGCCTCGAACGTTCCCTGTAAGATCCGGAAAATTTAACGATTATCCTATAATCTTAACCGCTACAGGTTAAGTTCTTGAGCTATCTTAAAGTCCAATTAGTGATACTACTAAGGTATAAGTTATTTATTCAAGAGAGTTCGAAACTAAGAAATTGAAGAAAGCTATTGCAATTCATCAGCCATCAAATTATTTAATACATTTTTTTGAACACTTTTTGAATTACTCTGAGGAATAGAATTGGATGGAAACGAAAATTTTATTTTTAAATTCCTTTCAACTCAATTAAAAAAATTAAATACCTACATTCTCATTTACTTTCAAAAGAATTGGAAAAAACTACATTACTAGCACGTAATTAATTTCAAGTAGAATATGAAATTCCTTGTAATGGAATTAAAAAAAAAAAATACATTTGAAATTACTTCTAAGGAATTGAAAAAGTAATAAATTCCTTTTAATCTCAAAGGAATCATTACGACCCAGCTCTGATTAAAGGTCAGATTGAATGAAAAATTACGTTGATCTCAAAACCGACGCACATACAGGTGTTTGTACGATCTAGGCGACCATAAGTTAGCTTAGCAAAATTGGAATAAAATTTGAAAAAGTAGCTACATTCGATAGAGAACATTCCCCAAAGCATTTCCCAGTCTTTCTCACATTTCTAACTTTCACCGCGAATGTTCACCGTTGACCGGAATTAGAGTTTTTAACGCTGCGTATAAATTAATTTTCGTTCTCTAGAGAGATTGTGACAGGTTTAAGTAAATATTTTTGTGAAGAGTGACTTGCAAGGAGAATTTATATAAGGTGGTGTTGTTTAATCAGCTGTGAGTAGCGTTTGATTGTCAAAATTTTATATTTTGCTAGTGAGTGAGTGAAATCGAGAGTGTTTGCATTTTCTGTCGCCCTTTTTCATTCGGAGAAGAAAAGCTGAAATTTGACAATGATCAGCTAAAAGCAAAAACAAAATACACGTAATTGTTGTATTTGTTGAATCTATACCACCTTATATGAATTCGCCTTGGTGACTTGTTTAAAAAGTTATGTTCTGAATTTCAATAAAACAAGTTGGAACCCTTATTTTTGAAATATTTCACTGGTTTTTTATTGATAACGCTTTCTTTTATTAGCGTTTAAAAACATCGTTTTTAATTATTTGAATATATAACATAATTTTAATTTAAAGAGGATTGT